ATGTGCTGTTTTCCTCATTTATGTCACTTTTTGGTCACGTGACTACTATCGCTATCAGTGTATCACTATCACTATCAGCAGTAGTGTGGACTTGCGGCTAGAGATAAGTGACCTGACGCTAATAGTGATAATATAGATATACTCTGTACATATCGGTCTTCTATATATTGTTGTCAAACTATTTCTTACCCCTGACACACGTTCACGGCACATGATCAGAACCACACACTAGAAACACGCCGCTGTTTGGCCCTGAATAACAGAATAACAGTGACCCAGATACCGATATCGTAACAGCGCCACCTGTTGGCACTAAATCTATTACTTTTAGCAACGAATTTACGTTTGCAAAGCTTTATACGGATTATATCAGGAGTCTATCAATATCGATCAATATTGATAGACTCCTGATTATATCTTACTCTACTTTTACATTACTGTTTGTGTTATAGAACGTAGGCTATTATTATTATGTGTTATTTGTTGTCGCTTTAAAATTCAAATTCAAATTCAAATTCAAATTCAAATTCAAAACAATTACTTCAAGCTTTACTGTGACTCGAAGCAAATTTATTAAAGAGTACCCCAGAACAACCCATGCTAAATGCCAAATTGTATAAAAGTCTACAGCCTATTTTACCTTCTATGTTAAGTATGTATTGATATCGTAAAAGTCTTAATTCTTCTTGACTGTTCTATTACTGCAAGTTACAGTAAAACTTAACGCACAGGACAGTTTTTTTTCGCAATATCAACAACGTGCACAGTGTAGATAACTATGATTGTTACCATTACTGCCAATGGGTGGCGCCAGGAGCAAAACATGCTGGAGTGCATCCGATCCTGTGAAAAAGTGTAGCGACTGTAGACGCTTGAGTCGGAGTTGCTTGTGATTATTTTGTCTTGTATGTTATAGTAAAAAATGTTCAAACTACATATGAAAATAGGCATATATAAAACTTAGCCATTCCTCTATTACAATGACAACTCAGCTGGACTGCATTATTAAGGTCGGAGGTAGTGCCTTGACGTATAAAACGGAGGGTAACCAGGAAGTCAAAAAAGATGCACTCCGTACTGTTGCCAAAATAATGACACTGTGCATGGTGAAGCATATGAAATGTATTCTAGTTCATGGTGCAGGGTACGTACTTTAGTCAGTTCATAATTCGAGCTAGTTATGGGAAACATTTCATTCGCTTTGTTAATCGAAGCTTTTACAGTGTACTGCAGGGCTGCCAACATTGGGTGATAGGTCACAGGTGAGATGCCAGGTAGCGAAGCGACCGAGCGGGGGGTGGGTGTGGGAAAATGCACCAATTTGTGCAATTTGGTGCATACTAAAGTGACTGTTTTCAGATATTGTAAGATTTTTTTTGCTGTGCGTGAGATATTTTAGCGTTTTATTCATGAAGAGATATT